TTTCCTCACTGCTTTATCGACTCACGGTCCTGTGGTTCATACCAAACAGAAAGGAAAGAAAGAAAGAAACAAGTAACGGTCGAGATAAGTTACATACAATTCCTACATACACTGGCAGCAGTGTCAATGTAATTCATGTTGTTGATAGCGCTCGTGTATTTACGAATTGTATGTAGCTTATCTCAACCGCAAGTAACAGACAAGCTTGTAGATGATAGGATGAAAATAAAGAGTTAATCAATCAGTATTTCGTACTACACACCTAGGCTAACTACATCTCTCAATAGTTTTTCAGGACCCTTCATCGTTGTCCGTGAAAAATCTTTATCCGCCAGAACCCATGTAAATCTACCCAGGAGAATCATTCCGACAGTAGGATCCTTTCGGATTCCGACCAGGGTTAGGCAGTGAATATACCGAATACCATATGTGTTTCAATAAAACCGACGAAATCTTATGGGATTCCTGGACATGGATCTACAGTTGGATCCTTGGTGTTGGATCCAATCGAATCCGATGTCGTATTTTAACGGAATCCAACTCTATCGAATCATCCTTGCGCTCTGATTGCTCAAATTCTTATTTGATCGTGAACAAGAAAATGATTTTTTCCGTCGGAACCGACAATAGGTCCGTGTCCAGGAATCCTATCGGATTCTGTGTGGGAGTAGAATCCCATAGGATTCCATAAGATCTGTTATAGGATTCATTCACCTGGGTATAGTCGCCCCGCCCGAAACCCCGTGCCTTTTATTGTTATTTCACCCGGCCCGCCGACCCCGCGGGATTCAACCCATGGATCGCACACCTCTGTTTCAGATAAGAAGAAAATGAGCTGTAATAAAGTATATAACAAATTTGTGAAAAATAATTGCTGATAAATGCTGAGTCTCTGAAAAATAGAAATACGTTCAGATATTTTTGGACGCCAGGTTTGTAATATGACATACCTCATTTGGAGTGTCAATTTGGTGTGTTCACTAAGATCGGGGGGAAATAACGAGTTTAATGGAGAGTGTTGTCACCCTATCATATAATAATACTCTATTTTGATGTTGCTTTTAGAAATCTAGTGGCGCTTGCTGCACTTTCAGCACCGTCGCAACACCTTCGGCACTTTTTCAGTATCATGTAATGAAATTTGGTTCTAAGATGCAGCACTTACCCCCTTGATCATCGTAGACTTTAACTTATTATAACACTAATATACAGTGGTGTGCAAAAAAAATTGCCGCTGTCCTTACGCGTTTTCTCGAGTCATTTCTCTGAAGAATATGAACGGATTCTTCTGAAACTTTTATATGCAGTCAAGGATGTGCTATAGATTGCAGTGAGAGAGAGACTTCTAAAAAAAGTACCTTTGGATACGGTGAGAGACATCGTGATTCGAGTGCCCACAATTTTCCAGTGTATCAACCGATCGCATTACGCTACCGCGACTAAGGCAATCTTCGAACTGAGAAAACTATCTTCCTAAACAAGGCCTCTACCCATAGTATCTAACGAAATGCAAATAACCTCCAACCACACGGGACTTTAGAAATAAACGCGAGATCACGATATGTAGAACTCCTGCCACAAATAGCGTTCCCATCCGATTGTCGCACTATCTCGATAATGGCTTTTCCAACCGACTTGAAATTTTCAGAGTAGATAGTCTTCTGCTAGTAGATAAAATTTTGTTCGAAGTGAACAAGTCTCAAATGTAATCTTCTGCGTCAAATAGAGATCCCACGTTGAGAAGGTAGTGATGCATTTCTTTCGCACCTTAAAAATCGAGAAGGCATCGTATTGAGCTGAAACTTTGGCTACACGATCTTGACCCAAAAAGAGATCCATGAATTCTCTCATTTTTCTCTAAACACGTCTTTTAGACTCGAACACAATCTATGTACATAGGCAAAACAGGCCTAAATAATTTTAGTGTAGCGATGAAGTTACAGTGATTACCTCTTTTTTGGCAGAGGGGAAAGAGAGCTAGCTACTGATTATTATATTTGTATACTCTGTTGTATGTATAGTTTATATATATATAAACTTTCAATATTCGTCGTGTTCACTAGGGTAACTTTATCAAATACTAACGGCAATTTTTTTTGCACACCACTGTATATCATCATATAGGCGTTATGAGATTAATTCAGTAGTAAAATTGATGTTTTCTGCAAGTGAACACATGAGAGACGATGGACGCTGGGCAATGAAAGTAGCTCTATTAATACAACATATGTATGGCATCTTATTCGGTAGAGACCGAGCGTATCTCTTCCAAATTATACTTACTCTCCGTCATCTAGTTAAAAGATTCTCGCGTACGACTTAAATCACAAAGTATTTTATCCAAAACTTCTATATTTCGCTCAATGACTCTTAATAAAATCTAACACCATGTAATAGACGATGAAATTCTGCATCTAACGCCAGTAGTTAGGGGATCACCACATGTGATGAAGTGAACCCGGACACAAATTACGGCTAAAACTGAAATTAAATGTCGAGTATATAGGCTTAAGGCCCTGTTTTTTTTACAGAATGACGTGATCTCAAATGAAAATTGTACCATTATCTAGAAAATAAAATTCTGCGCTCAACATAACCAAGACTAGAGAGTAAGCACAGGGCAGAAAAATAATCTGAACAAGAAGATATCGAATCTGATAGTAACGTTACTTAAGATATCGCTGTTTTATCTAATTGTTTTGCTCTATTCTTTACGCTGTGAATGTGGGTATACAGTGTGGTATGTATGTTGGTAAAAAGAGATTGTCGCCTACATCCCGCACCTCGCATCCTAGCCTACACCCACTCTCAAGCACACAAAAAGTTTCGATCATTCAGTCCAGAATCAAGCGAGTCGAAACGACGAGCGTTATTTGTTGGCACCATAAGCTAAAGTCTTATATGATTATTGCCTAGGCAATTTTCATAACCAAACGGTATATTCTATCAGTGTTTTAAAGGCACTTGAATAATACTCGTAAGAGAATTTTCAACTAGACAATAAATATATCGCATTTCGTGAAATATTTTGCAAAGCAGTTTGTTTCTGGGATTTATAATAAATTTTGCTTTTGTAGAAAACTATTAATGTAATGACTTTAGCTAGTTTATTGGCTAGTCTACCGATTGAAAACTTTTCTACATTGATAGATAACTGATAGCCTGGATAATTATTTGTTCAATTATTTTATGTATCTGACACAATAACAAGCATAAACAGTTATCATATTAAAAATTGAAGAAAAAAAATCAAGTTCAACGAGAAAACAGTAAGAACAAAAATAACAATAAACCGATCAATAATTAATAGCATTAGCAAAATCACATAATGCACAATTTGGATGGCGGTATGTAACACCAATAATATAATCACATTTATAAGTAAGGTGCGGGTAATTCAAAATTACAAAACCTCTTCTTTTTTATTTCAACATGCATCATTAGATTGCCTTTTTTACGGTGACCACGAATATCTACTTAGGTTTTCGATTTAACAAAATATTCGTGGAGAAAAATGCAAGATACTAAGAGGGTCTAAAAAATCAGCAAAAATGCTGCTGTTCAGCAAACAACGTTTATTTCCTTCCCGTTACACTTTTCTTTCTCACCAATATGACTTTCGAATTCCTCGTAGAAAAATGAGTAAGGAATGAAGTTATAAAATAGTAGATCTTTTAGATTTGAAGTTCGTTCAATGTTTCTACTTCATATGTTATCATATCCCTTTGGGTATTTATCATGGATATTTAAACAAAATATACGTTGTTATTGCATGATGCGTATATTGTTGACAATTGTAAAATCAAAACTGCAGTAACTGCGTCTAGTTTACAAACAATGCTGTCTCTACAGTAATATAGTTCACAAGATTCAATCGATCTTCAAAGTATTGATGAGTATAAGTGACAGATAGCAATCGTAATGAATTTTGCATTAAATACTTTATTCACTTGGATTACAGCTGGATGTTTACGCAAAAAGCTTGTTAGCGCAGCCATTAGACAGCTAAAATGTGCAACTCACGTAGAATTTTAGTCTAATTCTAGTGATACATAATATTTAAACTACTAAACCTATCCCAAATTATATTTGTTTTTCTCGAAAATCGATTGATAGAAAAATAATACCTCAGGGATTTTTCTTGGTTACTAACGTCTATAATAGGGATGAGTGGTTGAGTGAAAGATCGCAAAAAGCTCGCTTCTAAATTTACACTCGCTACCCAAGTGAGCAAAAAAATAGGGAGGACGGGCGACATGACTAGTCCAAAAAGTCTGCTATACCCGTCAAGTCTAGTCTAATACGTCTTCCATATCTATTGTGACTAGTCCGTATNAATAGGGATGAGTGGTTGAGTGAAAGATCGCAAAAAGCTCGCTTCTAAATTTACACTCGCTATTTTTAAGCAAAGAATATCGTGGATATTATATTTTTATTCTAATATTCAATGAAAATGTATGGAAATTGTGGAAGATTCACATTTCTTACCTTTTGATGTGTGTTTCAACGTTCCAGAGAAAAACAAAAATATTTTGAATTTTGGCTTTTAGCATGAGTCAATAGAGACTTTCTATGATATCATAATTACCAATATTATGGGCAGCCAATTTAATGTTATACGTACATTAGATATATAAAAGAAGAGTGCATATTATACCTGAGTCAAAAAACATTTTTTTTATCAGCGAAAGAATCTTTTGCATTTAAACGTTTGAATTCAAGTAGAATAGTTCACAGAAACACCAAACTTGTTAGATTCATAGATATTGATTATTGGCTATGTATCGCAACATAATTTAAGTATAAAATTCTGTTTTAAAAACAAGAAGTATACAGCTGTATCTATATAAGCAGATTAAAATTATTTGATTCCAGCTGATTATGTCTTTCAGTTCTTATTGTTTATTGACGCTGAGCTTTAATACATTCATTTTCTTTCATTAATCTTCGTTAAGAAACAGTAACGTGATATTTGAATAGTCACTAACTACTGCATTTTCATGTTTAAATATTATAAAAATGAATTTTACGTTTTCTCATTTAAGAATTCATTTGGTCCACAACGAACATCACCATCACTATCCAGTACATATTTAAGATTTATGGATGATCTTCGGGACACAAATAGCCGTTTACGTCATGAAATAAATTTACTCGGAAGGACTATAGATCGACTCACTGACCAAGAACAAAATTTACGAGTAGAAACTATTCAAGAACAAACTGAGAATCTTCGATTGGCAGTAAATAATTTAAATTTACAAAAGGCAGTCGATGACTTGAAATCAAGCAATTTTACGGTTCAGAAAATGTATGAAGATATGAAAGGAAAATACGAAGATATGAAAGGAAAATATGAAGATATGAATGAAAAATATGAGAAATTAGAAAAAAAAACTTGCAAGTTTTGAAAATAGATTTCAAAATTATCAAGAAGATCGAAATTCAAAGAAAAGAATCTCAGACTCTGAACCAAGTGTAGAAAAACGTATATTAAAAGATTTCAAAATTGATAGCCCATCGACTGAAAATGAAGCCATGGCCGTGTTAATAGTGTCTTGGCTATGATGATATGGATAGTGGAAGCTTTTGTAGACATTCTTCATTGTTATACAAACATCATTGTATTTACTTCATTTAAATAAATGTGGAATAATAAAACGCATGTTTTTCTTTGGATATCTGAAACAGAAACTATAAGAGATCATTTCATTTCATCGTTATTTGAACTAATATTTGTAATGCAAATTGTTTGATAGAACGAGAACTTTTAAGTCAACAATAAACTATAAAATATTTCGCTGTTATAAAATGTTTTATGATAAGAAAGCAAGCCTTCGGATCGCAGTTCCATATTGTCCAGTGAAAATAATGCTCCCGAAAGAATGAACTCCTTTAGTTTTTACAATAATAGTGAATGTCTGATCTTTTTCTTATCGACACATGTATGTGAACATTCATATGAAAGTAATTTGTGTCTATGTCTTAGTTATAGGCATTTCCATATATAACAAATTGATTGTATTTACTAGTTGATAGCATTTACTTTTGAAACATTTATGAATTAGCCAATGCATTGCAATTAATTATTGTTGATATCTTGATGGTACCCATAGAATTAATCGGAATTAATACTATATTATGAAAAGATGTATGACATATTTAGCACAAGAGTGTGCCTCATAGATCTCAGATAATGCAAAATCAAAGGGAAAAAAAGAAATTTCTTTATTGTAGATCAGAGAAAGTATTTTGCTCTATCGCTATGCCAACTAATAATTAAACATAAAAATAATGAAATGAAAATTATTTTTCCAATGAAAAGATCGGTAGACTTGCTCTGAAAAGATATTTGCTTTAAGAATGTTTGTTATCGGATCTTTTGTCAAATAACTTTTAAAAAAAAATCCAGCATTTTGGTTTTTAGTGTGAAATGCAGCACTAGTTTAAATTTTAAAAAGTTCATATGCATATTTCTATTGTTTTACTTTTTAGCCAGAAATCAACACACTTTCGTTTTATTTTTTGATGAAATAGTAATTTATCTTTATTTTATTGATATCGTAAATGCCTGAAGAAACTAATGACGAAGACCGAATTATTAGCACAAACATATCTTCATCAATGAGCAATTAAAAATAAATGATTAATCATGATGTATTGCTAAAGTTTGACGCTTAATCATTTTCATATTGAAAACATTTATGTCAATATGATTAATTATCTATTTAACATCATGCTCACTACTTTTTAACTATTTGTGCAAATCACTTTCGTGTTGCAATTTGAAAATTTAAACCCAGCAATGTTGAACAAGAGCACGACTGTTGACAGAAAAGTTGAATGTTTAAGACTTTGATTTTGGTGTCTGCAATCTATTAGATATTCCACAATGCATAAGATTTTATTTGATAATTAATTCCTAGTCTTCTACAAAATGCATTTTTGTTATTATATTAGCTTTAAGAACACAGTTAAACAATCTCCAGAAAACTATCAACATTTTTCTGAGTCTTATACGATGAGTAGTTTTGACTATTATTGGGATTTGAATGCATATATTTATGTGTCACAGACCAGTCCATAGAACACTTGTTTGATAACAACTTTATTTTATTTGAAAAACAAATGTGGATAGATTTGTGAAAACTATTTTATCAGTAAGATATAACTGATTTCATGTGGTAATCGATGATGCCATGTTTGAAAATTATGTGAAAGTTCACTAATAATAATATAACCTGATGAATGAAAACGATCAATATATTTTAAACAACGAAAAACTCTTTGAACAAGGGATGAGAAATATGAATGACGCGCATGAGTATATTCTAAACCTCCATCAATAACAAAAAAATCTCCTAATCGAGCTGCTTGTGCTAATGCATAAAGATTAGGCCATCGTTGTGGATTATATTTCATATCTAATGTAGCAAATATTGCTTTATGAAATGGAGATTCTAATCGACTAGGATCTGACATAGCAACAATTGATTCTTTTCTTTTTTCCATTCGTAATCGATGACGTTCTCTTCGAGCTTCTTCATCATATAAATATCTTAAAGAGAATAATTCGAGAAAAAAATCAAATGAAATTTTAAACTTACTCATAAAGTTCACGTCGAGTATTAAGTGATTTAACAATGAAAAGTCTTTGCCAATATTTAGGAACTATACTCGATTTTGGTATAGGTTGAGCCCAATATTGATTTAGCCAATGCATCTCTTTCCAAAGAACATTCTTTTTCGTATTTTCATCATTGATTTGATCAAGTGATTGAGTTACATGACGAAGAAGTGTCCATCGTAGAACAGAAATAGCTGTTGAACGTTTTGTTTTTGCCTTAACAACATGCTCCCATCCATGATGACGAAGATGCATTATACTTTTTTTTTATTTCTTATTTAGTATCGAATTATCATCCAACAATGTATGAAATAAATGATACAAAAAAATCGATTCCAAATGTAATTAATAAATTAACCCCGCCATCTGATCAATGTCCTTTTCGTGAACTTAAAACAACTGGTTTTATTTAAAATGAAAATGTTCTTTTATCAGATCTTTTCAAAAACAAACAAAAAAAAGAGGAAATTTTATTTTATTACATGTTTGTTATAATTTGTATTGTCTAATTGTTGTTGTTTTTAGTGGATTGTCATATTGTTTTATTTTAACATTAAATATTTGTCCCTAAATCACCAATTATAAACAATATGAACACATCTTACATGATTTTATTTAATCATGTTAACAATTAATGACTAAGCCAATAGATAAATGTCTATATTTTTTGATACTTACATATATTTTTGAAGAAAATGGTGAGTGTAACTTATTGTAAGGATATTTTTTTAACAACTGCCCCTCCCCCTCCCTCTTCGTCACAGACACTAGCAACCAGTATACGCCACTTGCAAATATAAGCAAATAGGTAATACTCTAATTAAATGAGTAGCTGCCTAATTCAACGTCGAACATAAATGAAATTTTCCAAAAAATCCTACTGTACACAGGCAAAAGATAAAGATAAATTTTCTCCTAATTATAAATTTTACAATTCAAACTTTGGCTGTCACATAAGTGAGGCAAAAAAGCAAAAGTTTAAAATCTATCCTATTTATAAAATTTAGAATTGAAACTTAGACATCCATATAAGTCGACTCACACCTTCGCCAAACCCTTCGTAGCATCCACAGTTACCAGCTATGCCAAAATTGGGTTTGAGCAACAATAGTCATATTTATCGCAGCTAATGAACTTGCTATCTTTAATGAGAATCTTTCGATCATGCCTCAGTTTGCTGCAACTAGCAAGGGGTATGCTACTGGCCTGCCTAAGGTAACTTGTAGCGTTATTGAGGTTGCTTCCAGCTTTTGTGAGATTGTTAGTAATATTCCTAAGAATACTGGTAACATTCCTATGAGTGCTAACAGCACTTCTGAGATAGCTAGTAACATTCCTGAGGCAGCTATGAGCAGTTCTGTCGTGACTAGTAGCATTTTCAAGAGTCCTAGGAGCATTCTTGTGGATACTAGGAGCATTCCTGAGAGCTGTAATACTATAGTTGTGATTGGTACACGCATAGGTGAGATCGCCAGAAACAGTCCTTTGCCTCCTAGGAATATGCTCTAGTTTGTGAGAAAATGGCTTTCGAACATTCGGAAAACATGAAGGCGCAGTTTCAGTAGCTGCGGTATTGCATCTAGGAGTTTAGTTATGCACTCTGGAACTTGAGTTCGGTTTCTAGCAAATCCAGTCATAGTTTCAATACTTTAAAACAGGAGATAGAAAGTTGAGGAATCATTTAGGTCGCTTAGAGATGATGTCAAAATTCGAATTATAAAATTTATATTGAGGATAAAATTTTAACTTTTGCTATAACTATATGAGTGCACGATTTTTTATTTTCGAATTGATATTGTGTAGTTGGACGTTCATTTATATTCGAATTCGAATTAAACATCTCATGGTGGAGTGCGGCAGTAGAGAATTGTTCAAACACTCACCCACACCCAAATCGTTTTTTTAATTACTTAAGTATAATTCTTTGTTAGATTTTATTGAATTATTCAAATCGTTCAACTTAATACCGATTTATTTATGCCGAAAATTTTAATATTTGTTTTCACTCTAGAATGGGTTCAACGAAAGCTCAAATTAAATTCACAACGACTGGATCCCAAATGGCGAACCATACATGAATCTACGTTAAATAAACGACGAAATTGGAAGAAAAGTTTTCCAATCACTACCATCATGTGAAGTACATTGATTTCTACTGTAGATTTCAGTTAACCTCATGAAAAATGTTCGTCGCGGCCAATTCACGGCTTACTAAATATCTTTTTTATTTCACGTGTAGCACCGAAAACGTGTCTTGTAGTTATGCTCGGATTTTGTTCAAGCATTTTTTCTCTATTATGTATGACATATGTGTCTTCGTTGACGGTGTAACAATCGTTGCATGCATACATTTCTAGTCTTCTTGTGTACATTAGTCGACTTGGCGATGAACCTGCTGCTCTTTTTATGAAGTCGGGTTGTGTGAAATTACATTGTTTGTCGTAATTTGTAGTTCTTTAATTTCACATTAATAATAAATAAATAAAAATGTATTCAACTACATAAAGCACTCTGTATCAGCAATGAACGAATTAAACAAAACCGGTGGTTCGAAGAAAACACCCTGGTAAACGCTTCAGTTACTAGATCGGAATACTGGCGGCTTTTTCGCGATATGATAACCATCGGATCCGAGATACGACGTGTAGTGGGTAATCAGAGAACAAATATGTTATATACAGCGCACTCTATCATTTTCATTTTTGAAAGCAAATTGACTCAGAAAATGATTGGTGGTTCAATGCAGTGCATCGTTATCCAACTTATTTTTTTTCATTCTCTGTATCTATTCTTTATTTCAAATAAAAATGGCTCCAACAACTGAAAATAAGAAAGTACGTTATGTTTGATGTTCATATTTTTATATTTGATTCGTCTTGATATTGTAATAGTGCGTGTAGCATTTCCCATGTGTGTCTGTCTACTCTCTATTAATAACATACAAGCTTTTCGCTTTAATTTCTCACTTTGTCAGTATTCTTAGCCGTTGTTCGTAGATTTCAGAAAAATATAATAGATGTATCCAAATCAACGACAGCCACGGCCAGGACATCCACTGCAACAATTGAATATCAGCAATATTGAAGTAAATTTCGTTTCTTGCTGTAATAAAAAAAATGCATGTGCTAACTGTTCTAACCAATGTTTGTTCATGTTTACATAATGTAAAATGAATTTTAATGTTTCTTATTTTAGAAGTTACTTGGTCCTATACCCAGGTCGAACATTCCGGTCACCGGATCCCGTAGGATACTCCAGGGAATATGCGGGAAAGTCACCATATCCTGCAGGAAAACACAGGAAATCGCTGGAACATGGAAGCAGTATTCCGGTCAAAAATACGGCCGGACTTGTCCGGAAAATTCCTGCCAAGTTCCAGTGCTTTCCGGCAGGAATTGATCGGAAATCACCGGAAAAAGTGCGAAAATTTTCCAACCGGAATACTGCTTCCACAAAATCAGTGGAACTACCCGGAACCGGCCGTTTCCAGGCCGGACTGTTCGACCTGGGTACGAACATTACCATCATTATCAGATATATACATAACAGCAATCAATAGCCTTGGTAGTGCGAATACTACTTTACGTCAAGATATTGATGCACTTGAAAAAAATGCTGATGAAATGAGAGGAAATAATCAAGATTTAAAAGTGAAAGTGCTCGAACTCGAAACAGCAAATCTACGATTATGTGTTGATAATGAAAATCTCAAAATACAACTCGATGCTTTGGAAGTATGTAATAATCAACTTAGAATCGATCGCGACAACATACAAGAACAATTGAAAAAACAGACTGAAAAGTTTGAAGAATTTCAAAAAAGAATTGAAAAACTTGATGAAGAAAATAATGGTTTAAAGGGGAAAATATCGTCTATTGAATCCAATTTGGTAAAGTTCATGTTGTCAAATCGTAACGTTGAAAAGTCACAAGACCAATATCTTGGTAACTACTTATTAGCGAAAAATTCGAGTTAATAAAATATGTGCTCGTTTAGGTTTAAGGGTCAAGTTATCGTCGTGCTAAATTGTATTTTGTTAATGGTTATTAATGTTTTACTTGTGAGAAAGGATCTTTAATTCATGATTATGATGATGAAATTACTTTATGACTACTATCATCACATGTTGTTAAAACTGGCTCTTGTACATTTCAGTGGCTTGTATTTAATTCTTTTTCTCTTCTTGTCGTGTCTTTGCTTCAAAATATGATTTTAAATAGATTTTTGTATCTATCCACTCAAATAAATCTAGAGAATAGTAAATTATGCTTCACTTCAACTATCCGAAATAGAAAGTCTCATACGACATTTTTTAAATCTTTGCTTGACTTCCCAGGTTAATTACCCACGATCGTATACGACTGTATCCAAAATAATACGATGAATAACGATGACGGTATACGATGATCGTATACAATGATAGTATACGAGTAAGTACGCCTTTATACGACGATCGTAAACGTCTATCAAATACGTCCACCGTAATCAGCTTTCGTATACGATCGTGTACGATCGTATTTGTATCATTGATTTTCTGTGTAGCTACACATGTTTACAGTGTCATAATTAATATACCACATCGTATTATAAGTTGTTTATTTATCTAATCGTTTCAGTTAGCGTAATTTGTGCGATGTAGTTTTCAATCGCATAGAATCAAGTCACTCAATGCATATTTTTATTAATGCTTTCGAAGATTTTGGACTTTTCTTTTCCAATGATGTTTTGGATCTTGTGTTTGAGAGTTTACTCATGAATGTTTCCCTGACGAAACAAAAATAGTTATTACTATAATTAAAAATAAAGTAATGTATGGATACAGGGGCAATAAAACAGGTCTTTGAATATATCTCTTGCTTTACAACGATATACCATCTGGACGTATTCATATGAATTTATCTCTCAACTTTCTTTACATTTTCTGTTTTTTTTATAATTAATTTTAAAAATATTTCGTATCTTATATTTTTTATAATCAGGTCTAAAAAAATGTTCTAGGCAAAAGTTATTCTACAAACAATAGTTTTAATCATTTCACAAAATGTTTCTGTCAATACACACTTGCAGAGTGCTTGATATTATACGACATGAGATCACCAATACAAATGTTAGGGTTAAATAAGTAGAACGAATGGAAATCGTTCTATAAAGAAAATAAAGAAAAAAAAAGAATATGGACAATGGTTTACACGAATGAAAATATGAAATAGAAAATACAAAGTAAAGACGAACGTGGCTGCTATTCAATTCAGATATAAATGAATAACTCTAATATCTCGATAAACCTACTAGCAATAAAAATTTGACAACTTATAGTTATAAGTGAACTTTAATTTTTTTTATTTAAGTGAGGTATTTTTATCTTGTAAATATTCATTCTTGATTTTTTTCCGGTCTTTCTTCATCTTGTTACATCTTCATATTCATTAAACACAACCTAGTTGTCTCAACGACATATACCATGTATTGTTATTCGAGCGCTATTTACTTTATTGGTTATGTACTATTATTATATATATATATGAAATGATTGTCATTCAATAAATTCGGAAATTATGGAAATTGAACATCTTACATACATATACCTCACAATCACATAGTTAGAATTTTCATCTTACTTTTCTTCAATAAATCATTTAACAGCAACAACAAACATATACTTTAACAACTAGCAACGTGACCATAGTCTAAGTTTTTCTATTATTGCCACTTGAGTGAAAAGAATTGTCTTTTTAGTATTTTTTTTCTCTCCAGTTAATTGAGTTTCGAGATTTAGCACCAATTCTTATTGATATGAAATTTTCGAATTTATTATTAAAATAATTTAATAATATTTTTATATTCTAACACTAACTTGGTAATTTTTTACAGAGAAAGTCGAGTATAGGATATCACAACGTTGCCATCCAATATTTTTGATTTTGAAAAGCTTTATCAAAATTTTTTTTAGATTATCTTCTAACTATTGTTATTTTGAAATTGTTATTTAAAATATGTATCAACATATACGTATCGCTTTGGAACATGCTCAACAGCGATCACAACATGTACAGGAACAAGAAAATATTCGTCGTCGTAGGAAAACAATCGAAAAGTATCCAACAACACGTGTCAATGAATCAACGGCAACATGTGTCAATGAAGATGAAACAACATCAAACAATCCCAGAGAGATTAGTCATCACTCTTTATCAGATCATAATGAAACACTAGATGTTGATGATGATTTTGATCTTGATTCCTTGGAAGAAATTTCAAGTTAAATCACAGTTTCACTTTAATTCAGATTGTGAACTTTCGATGGATGATCAAGATGAACCATTGATGTCAGAGGAATTATTTTCATCAAATAACGATCAAAATGATAATTTCCTTCATTTTTATACCACCACGAAAACACGGACGTTTTGTAGACAAATGGTTGAAATATTCAGAGATGCTAATATTAGTAACATTCATTGTTTGCGTATTCTCAAACTTATTAGTAGTGTTCTTCCGCAACCTCACAATTCACCAACAACATTGAAAGCTTTATATGATTCTATACAAGGTTAGCTTAATTTCAATGAAAGCGATAAAAGCATTTTGAAAGCTCTAAACAAGATTTATAGAATATCTAACATCGAAGACAAATTGACCAATACGGTTTATTTACTCTTCTCTTTTTAGTTGAACAGCTGTTCAATAAAAGATTAATTTGCATTCAATGCCATCATAATTTATCACATAATGACAAAATATGCAACAAATGCTTTTCAAAAGAAAAGAAATATATAGCTAGTATATTTGATGTTAATCAACCATTAGTATTTACACGAACATTGGATCGTCTTTCATCAGAAATTGAAGATAATCGAAAGCAATGTAATCTTAATCATTTATCACGCCAGAACAATAATAATGATATTATATTTAATCAAGTCTATAAAGAACTTCAAAATCGTCATGGCTCATCATCATTTATTTCATTACTGTTACACTTAGATGGCATCAGTTTATGCAAATCCAGTAAACTTAATTTATGGTTACTTAGTTGTAGTTTAATCGAACTTCCTGTTCATCTTCGTTATCGGCGTTTCAATATGATTGTTCTTTCTGTTTGGATTGGTCATTGTGAGCCGCTTGTGGACTTATGGTTAGAAGAATGTTTTCAACAACTAAATGATATCAAGAAGAAAGTTATTTAAAACTTACCTTCAAGAATAAGATTTATGAGAAAATAAAAATAAATGTATTTTTAATAATGAGATGACACCTACAATCAAAATAGCTTTATTGTATCAAATCATCGCAGACAAAATAAATAAATACATTTGTCAACAAAATTGAGTATTTTTGTACCATGGAACAATAAATGGCAAAAACTGATTGATATATTCTTATATTAATTTTTGCTAAATCATAGATGCTGTTTGGTTTCTAAGTTTTTCCAGTTCACCGCTTAAAATTTTATTTTTGTCAATATCATCTTTTAGTCTTTTCATACTAACAAACAGGATTAAAGAATCTTATTCTAATAAAAAAAACAATTAATTTGTCAATTCTAGGTATTTCAACTCGATCTGGTATAAATTACAAGATAATTGTATATGGATTAACTGGAGATTGTCCTGCAATTAAACTAGCAACTAAGCATATTAGTCATCAAGGTTATCTTTGTTGTTGGTTTTGTTATATACATGGTATTCATGTTGATAATAAAAGACAATACTACTTCGAGAAGAAAATTATCCTTCGTTCAGAAACTGAATATGAATTTTATTCAAAAGAAGCAGAAAAAACAAAAACGAATATTTATGGTCATCTTGGCAGATCTCCATTTTCTGTTGTATTTGATATCCATTTGCCACGTTGTATAGTTATTGACTACATGCACGTGTCACTGTTGCGTCATACACGTACTATTATTCAATATCTTTATCAAAAATTTTTAAAACCAAAACAAAGAGATGAGCTGGATGACCTTTTTCGTCATCAAGCTTTTCCTCATAACTTTAATAGAAAGATGCGTTGCGTTAAAGATTTCTCTTATTGCAAGTTTGTATTTTTATTCATAAAAATTCTAATTACCACGCGGCTTTTCTTATAGAGCATCAGAACTAAGAAATATGTTGTTATATGGTCTATTACCACTTATTCGATCGTTTCTACCAGTTCAATTGGCTGCACATTTAGCACTTTATGTTGCAGCAATGCGAGTATGTTTATGAAAATATTTTTTTCATTGCAGAATAGTGTTTTTATTCGCTGTGCATGAAGAGAAAGAATGGTTTCATTATAAGATATAATTTTTACAATTTGAGTATCAAAATTGACAAATCTTAGTAGTTGAAACTGATTAAACTATTTTTTTTTGTTCCATTATAAAAATGCCTTCAGCAACTTATTAAATTTAATTTTGGGTTGATTTTACAGCTAATCATCTTTTTAATTAAAAAGACGCATATATGTCCTAATTTTTCTTTGATAGTCGACTTGATTTAAAAACAATACCTAATGTTGTAGATAATAAGAAATCTGAACTACTCTAAATCAACATAACTTAACCTATTTTTAATATGCCATATAAGAGAGACGCATGTCGTTCTCTTTGTTTTGAAGCCCATTTATCAGATCTAGCACAACGCACTGTAGCTAAAAGTTATCTAAATTATGAATCGTGTTCTCATTCAGATGCCATATATTTTTAAAAGCCAAGTCAGCTCTCATTCAGCACGAGAAAAGAATGATTCAGAAGTTTATCTAGTCTATCCAGAAAGATATGCAAAGAATTTTTTATTGCATAACAAAAAATCGATGTCGTGTATGACGATCAGTAGCATGAAAATTTTTCCATCTTTATCCTTCTCTTTTAAAATGATCAAACCTATTTGTATTTCAGTACATCTGAAAATAAATTTAACAACTAAATATATCCTATGCATAAAAGTAGATTGTTATCATCAACGTTGAAAAAATGTGACAGAATTATTTCCGATTTAGACATAGTGTTTATTATTTTAGTTGACTTGTATGCATACCACTGAATAACTTCAAAAACAATCCCAGGTCAAGCGAAACGGATTACGTTTACGGGCCGTTTTCGGACAGTGAGCTGTGGAAATACGGTTATTTTACGATCGTAAACGATGTTATTACGTACCGTAAGTAGTCCGTAATTATCCGTCGTACTGGAATCAGGAATACGGCCCGTATTTTATCCGCATCGTAAACACTCCGTAGTCGACCGTAAACTATTATATAACGGATACAATACGATTGGGGGTTTGTTAACGTATCTCT